CACGGCACGGCACGGCACGGCACGGCACGGCACGGCACAGCCGGGGTCTGAGACCATCACTTGGGTTGCCTCCAAGGCCAAACCCTGCGGTGGCACAGGTGAGGCTGCAGAGAGAGATATGTGATGCGCAAAGGTGGGGATGTGCACCACCGTTTCAGCTGCTAATAAGTAAACGCTCATTAGCAAGCTAATTCTTAAAACCGTGAGTTGTTGGCTGGATTTTTGTGCTGCTTAGGGTTGGTACCAATGCCTCACTCCTGCGCCTTTGGCATCACATCCAGCCCACACCGGCACAGGGCGCACCGCGGCGGAGGGGTGTGGGACGAAAGGATACTCGTGGGGACAAGAGCACGTCCACCTCCAGGCGTCCCAGCTGGTGCTGGTTAAACCCGTGCTTAAAGCTCTCCCAGAGAGACGTCCCTCCTGCTGCCGCTTAGAGGAGTTTTACACATCAAAATCGGGTTTCATTATGATGCCAGAAACACCGAAGGGAGATGTCAGAAATTACGCATAGGACGGCACGAACCGCCCCGACGCCACAGAGGAATTCAGAAGTTTCCAGAATTAAAAATAATTTCAGAAGAGTTTGCCAGTGGTTATTCTGGTCGTATTTCTGTTATTTTCAGAAAAACATATAGAGACAGGAGCGATTCCCACTGCTCTTCCTCCTCCTCTTCCTCCCCAGACTCCAGGGCCATCCCCAGACCCCCAGGGCGCAGCTCAGGGCCACCTATAAGCCAGGGTGGTCTCCCTGCGTGTCCCCAGGGACTGACACAGGCCGTGCTCATGTAGGGTTATAATTTGAAGAGTTTGCTAAGCCAGAAGCAGATGTTGCTGTACGCTCTCGCCCAAGCCTAGTAGGAGCGAGGGCCGGGGGCACAGCCGCGCATCCCCCTGCCAGGGGTCCCAGCCCCAGCAAAGGGATGAGGCGGTCACAAGGCAGCCCCGTGGTGGCCACCCCAGACCTACTCTCCTCCTGTTCCGCAGCCATGGATGGGGCGCACGCCGGGTGGGATGCCATGAACAACTGCACCGATGAGCAGTACTGGGACACCCTCGTTTACCAGTGCATCCCCTGCAGCGCCGTGTGCGGTTGGCCCACAGTGAGGAGGTGCGCTGCCCTGTGCGGTGAGTGCCGGGGCGGCCGGTCGTGGGCACCGCGGGGCCGTTGCCTGCCGGGATGGAGCAGGCAGCCATGGGGCAAAACTGGGAGGGGAGATCAGGGCGCTGGGATGACCCACGGGGCGGGCTCCGAGCCAGCTCAGCTTAACGGAGCTTCAAGCCAAAACCGCTGGGGAACGTGACAGCTTCCCGGCGATGGACTGGGTCTGGCAACAGGACCAGAATCGAGTTGTCCACGTCTCTGTACCTCTCCTTTCTGGGGTCACAGGGAGCCTTCCCGGAGCTGCGTCAACACTCGTATCCCCCAGCGGTGACACCCCACCCTCCAAAGGAAGGGCCTGGAGACACGTCAGGTTCATTTGATGTGGCTAATTATAAACTCAAGCTGTACCTTCACGAGGCTGTACCGCGAGCCCTGCGCTGGGGCCGGCACCGAGGTGCAGCGACAACGGGTGGGGAAGAGAGAGGCAGATGCACTTTGCACCCAAAACCCGTGCGTGGTCCCTTCCCTCCTCGGTGAGCCGCCGGCCAGGACTGCTGCGCTCTGTCCTCAGGCACGGGGCACCCAGCCCTGCCGCAGGGCTGCACGCAGTGACGAGTCACGTCCCCCCGATGGGGACAGGAGATGCCACCCCTGGGGTCCTGAGCCGGTGCTCACGCACGTTTCGCTGTATCCCAAAAAAGCTCTGTAAGCCCCAGGGCGGCAGCAGCTCTAAGAGCAGCAACCAGGAGCCTGTTGCCACCACCGCAGGGGGGTACAGCCGCGCACCTCTGGCTGCGGCCCGTCCCATCCCATCCCATCCCATCCCATCCCCACGCGGCTGCCAGCCCTGATGCCTTCTTTCCCCAGTATTCATCCTACAGCCAAACGCCACCTCAAAGCCCGTGGATCTGTCACCCTGCCAGCCCTGGAGAGGCTGTCAACACTGACGGCAGCACACAGGTCTCGCCCTGCGCCAGTCGGAGCCGTGGGCTTGTTCGGGGTGGCCGAGGGCTCGTTGTGGCGTGAACCCAGGTGCCGGGGGCGGTGGGAGGGCAGCGTTTTGGGAGCTTTGAGCTCAAACGACAGGGGAGGAGGACATGCTTGGGACCCCGCCTTTGTCTCCCGCGCGGGAGGGGAGGGGGCGCGGGGATGCGGGGCAGGGGAGGAGGTGGGTTACGGGACCGACGGTGGGAAAGGGGCAGCAACACCCCCTCTCTTCGTCCTGGGGGGCTGTGTATGTCCTGCCATTCCACCGGGACTGGGGAAAAGAAATCCAGGGCACGCATTTCCCGTTTTCTCCACCATACAGCGCCTTTTCCCTTTTGCACATCGGCGTTTTACAGACCTGTCCTTCACCTCTACCAGCCAGGGACAGGACGGGCAGTGGCGTTTCCCACCTTGCCGAGCTGCCTCCAGCCCTCGGGGATGGGATGGGATGGGTTATTTCCCCTCAGATCTCCGAGTCCCACGTCAGGGTTGAGGCGCGAGCACTGGAGAAGGGGGAAAGGTGGGAATGGGGGGTGGGAAGGGATCTCCCCTACCCCTCCATGGGAGAGAAATGCAAGCAAACAGAGGCGGTGCATGGCCGCTTTCAAATTCTTTCCAAGCGGAGCGCGTGAGTGCTGTTAGCGACACCCTTTCCCTATCAAAAAGTCAATAGTGTGAAGCGTGTCCCCGAGGGGTCTCTAAGCACACTCATCTCTGCCTGGCCCACAGCGGGTGCCCTGGTGGCCACCCCACCTCCGCCAGCCGCCCTGGTCACGGCCTTGCCGCCGGCGGCTGTGCTGGAGCAGAAGGCGTGCGTGGAGCAGGAGCCGTGGCTGGTGGTGTACCTGCTGCTGGGGCTCTGCCTCTGCGCCCTCGTCTGCTCCCTGCTCCTGGGCTGGACCCACCTGCGGAGAAAAGGAGAGGTGGTCTCCTGCCAAGCCAGCCCTGGGACCTGCCACCGCAGGGAGGACTCCTCCAAAGGTGAGTGCTGGCTGCACTGGGGGGGACTGGGAGGGGATGGGGAACTTGTGGTGGACCACTGGGAGGGACAGAGAGCGGAGCCGGTTCATAAGAGGGGTGGGGAGGAAAAGCAAAGCCAACGATGTGCAACATGGTTGAGTCCGAGCCTGGAAGAGCAGCAGGAGCGGAGCCCTGTGCCCTGATTCTCCACCGTACCCACCTTCTCGGTCACTCTTGCAAAGTCACCGGCACAGCTTCCCACTGCTGGAGCTGCACCCTCAACTCACAGCTCTCCGGTCTCCAGCCAGAGGCTGAGCTGTGGGGTCAAGGAGGAGTTGCAAAAAGCCAACTCTCTTCCAAAGAAATGAACCACCCGCCCAAGGAGGACCCCGGGCTTTTGTGGCAATTGCAGCTCTGTGTTCCTTCGCTTGGGGCTGTGCTGGGACCGCTTTGGGGTGAACTACTGCCTGGCAAGAACCGTGGTAACACAGGCTACTTGCTCCTTCAAACAGGCTAACGATGCAGCCGGTGCGCTGAATTATCTTGTGGCATCAAACGCCGAAGTTTTAGCCCCGGAAGCAGAGGGGCTTCACAAACCTTTGCTGTAGGGAGAAAAGATAGGGAAAGGATAACGTGCAGTAAGTCAACATAGAAAAAAAAGATGTTTTTATTCTCCCTCCTCCTCTCCTCCCCTGCTTTTAAAAATAAAAAGGTCTGCTTACCTATTTATGTATACACATACATGTCTACATACGTACAGTTCAAAGCCAGACATGCTGGATGTCAAAAATCACGGAGAGAAAAAGCCCACGAGCCGGTGTGTGGCTCAGAGTCACTCTCCGGCAGGACTATCACTCAAACCATTCCTGTCCACTTTGGTCGAAGGACACGGTGGCATTGAACATTCAGCTTTTTAAGGGAAGCCGTCAGGTTCAGCGAGATTTAGCATATGCTCATTCATACCCTTTCCTAACCCCGCTCATCAGGTCTCCGATAACGGCGCAGAGCCCTTTGACAGCTAGCGACCAGCCCGCAGCGCGCCACGGGTCCCTCGAACCGGCCACGCTGCACTCGCCGGAGCTCCAGCGCCATGCACAGTGCTGCACCATCGCATTCGCATATGCTACAAAAGCAGCATTTAATGAAATGACAGTTTAGAAGTAACGTCATAAATATTACAATTACTTTAGTGCCAAACCTCCAGCTTTCCTGCTCAAGGCACTTCCCAATTTCACAGAATCACAGAATGGTCAGGGTTGGAAGGGACCTCTGGAGATCATCTAGTCCCACCCCCCACCAGAGCAGGGGCACCTCCAGCAGTTGCACAGGACGGCGTCCAGGCCGGTTTGGGATGGCTCCAGAGTGGGAGACTCCCCCACCTCTCTGGGCAGCCTGTGCCACTGCTCCACTACCCTCAAGGTAAAGAAGTTCCTCCTCATGTTAAGATGGCACTTCCTATGCTCAAGTTTATGCCCATTACCCCTCGTCCAGACTCTAGCGCAGCACTGCAAAGCATTTCTTCAGGACAAGGTGCCCCTCAAAAGCCTTAAGCTAACACACGTGGTTTATTTGCAGATCGCCTGGTGGAAGCTGGAAGCGTCGGTGATGGATCCACCGGCAGCAGGGTCCCAGAGCCGGTGGAAACCTGTGGCTTCTGCTTCCCTGGACACGGCTCTGCCGTACAAGAGACCAAATCATGCCACAGCACCACCTGTCCCACCGGGGAGAGAGCTGCTCCCTCCCACACCGGGATATGCAGCACGGGAAGCGCCGGGGCCATTCCCAGCCCTGATGATGGCCACTTCAAAATCATATGTTCTCCTTCACAAGAGAAGACGCCCATGGCGTGACCGCAGTGAACATTCCTCCACAGGAGCAGAAAGGAGGGATGCTCCCTCTACCCCCTAAACACAGCTGCTTCCCCCTCCGTTTCCCATGACTGTAACGGCTCCTACCAGCACGGGTGGGCCTGGCACAGCCCTTGTCCGAGGGCTGTAGGTTATGGACAGTGCTGTTTTCTTCCACTCAGGAAACAAAATTCTCGTTATTCTCGTGCACTCCCAGTGACAGAAGTCCCTTCCCATTCGGCAGTGTCTTCACCCCCCCGACTTGACCTCTGCAGACTCCTCCGTGCATCCCAGTCATCGGGAGCGATGTCTCATTGGGGCTTTTCCTCCTGGTTCCACCAGCAGCGTCACTTTGTCTCTGCAAAGTGTGTTGATGCGGAGTCGGGCTCAGACTGTGGTGTCCACCTGTCCCCGTGGAGAGCACACCTTTCCCTGCTTGAAAACTCTACCGTGTAACACAAGTGATTTACAAGCAGAGCTGTGAGCATCTCAACCATGGACTCAGGCCCAAGAAGTTACTCGTGGAAGTTATAATGTCCACCGAACACCACTGCCATGCTCTCAAGAGTGGTGTGTTTTTTGACTTTAGGTTTCTTTACAGGACAGAAAATTTGGTAGGATGCAATGTGGGAAGCTCCACTGACAGCTTTCAACACTGCTTGGGAGGGAGGACAGGTCACGGACAATGGTGACGCTTTGCCTCCTTACAGGACACGATGCTGCATGGGAGGAGCTAGGACAGGCACCAAAATCCCTGATGGAATTGGGTTTAAATGTGAAAACTCGTCCAAGGCTGAGAACTTTCTAAAAGACTGGATTTACATACATCTGGTCTGGGTTACTCAAAATGGCTGGTAAAAGTGAGGAACGAGCTATGGATACAGCTGTTTTGAGGGAAGATTTTTACCTGACCCGGCTTTGCAAGGTACCATGGACAAATATGGTTTTCAACACGTAACTTGAAGTTCTCATTTTCACTAAAGGAGAATACAGGAGTTTTTCTACTTGGTGAGAAATCACTCCTGGTAGGAGCTCAATCCCTCCACTTTCTCAAACTAGAGCCTCAAACTTGGAAGAATAAATATGAGTCAATATATGCACAAATCGGTGCTGGGAAAGTAGACAGGAGAAGAAAGCATGAGCAGATAGTTATAACAGACTCTGTCCCCTCCATATTATGTATTTCTTTAAATGTCAATGTTCTCTTATCACTAAAGGCGGCACCACGCTGGTGGTGACCATAACAAAGCCTGTGCCACGAGTGATGTCCAGTAACAAACTAGAAAGTGCAAGAGATGGTTTAAGGTGAGGACTAAGAGCCCACGCGTTGGTCCACCAGCTGGTACGTGGGGCAAAGTTTTGCTATCTTGAATTGCTCCAGGAACCATTCTCCATCTCGTTATCCTTGTGTGTTGCCTTTCATCTCTTCCCTCGGTTTAGCAAAGTCCTTCTCGTGCAGTAGCACGAGGGTGTTTTGTATTGTGCTGCATCTGAGGGAGAAAATAAGCCTTTGTGAAACGCAAATCTTGTTTTACTCAGATGGGTCTCCTAAACACAATGGGTGAGCCCTGAAGGCCACCACCCCACAGTGCGATGGGGGGAGCAATGGCTTACCCACGTGCACAGAGAACAAAACAGAGACGCCGGCCAGGAGCAAGCCGCTGGCAGGGTACAGTGACAGCAGCAGCCTCTGCTGGCTGGGCCTCCCCCTGGGCCTCCGCTCACTGCGCCTCTTGCACTCGTCACCTGCCACCCTCTCTCGGCGTCCACAGTCCAAGGACCTCCCACCCTCCCTTGGCCACCATTCCTCTCACCCTCCACACCTCATCTACCTCCCACTCTCTCAACCTGAAGACCCTCTTGGCCTTGCACTCCATCTTGGCGTCCCCTCAGCTCAGCCTCCTACACCTTCTTGGCATCTCTTCTCACAGTCATCCCCTCTGGGACGTCCAACTCTATAGCATTATCTTCTATGGCCTTAGCTCCTGTCATATCCCTCCTGTGGAATCTGCTCCAATGGCCTCTGGTCTCATGGTGTCAGTTCCCAGGGTCTCTGGTCCTGTGGCCTCCTGCCCCATGGCCTCAGCTCCCATAGTCTCTGACACCACGGGCCCAAATACAGTGGCATCATTAGCATCCCAATTCCTCTAAACCTCCAGAAATGGTTTGGCCCCAGAAGCCACCTCGGCCTACAGGCACGCTCAGCCTCAACTCTTTCTTAAGACTCCCACCTGCTTTTGACCTCAACCATTCCTTGGAGTCCCACCCACTTTTGGCCCCCACCCTTGCAAAGACTCAACTCTTCCTTAAGGCTCCCAACCCCTTTGGGCCTCCCACCCCTGCTCAGCCTCAACTTCTCTTCAGCCTGCCTCTTTGCGTAGACTAATCCCTACAACAGCTTTCCCTGGTCTCTCGGTTTCCGTTCCAGCTTGACCTTACTCTTTCTTGCCCTCCCACCATCTTTTGGCATCTACTCTTGCTCTGCCTACACCCTTTAGTTGCTCTGAGTCGTCACTTGGATTCCTGCTCTGCCTCCCATCCTGCTCATACTCCTCTTCCACCTCCCTCAGCCTTTTGCCCTGCCCCCATTCTCCCTCAGGCTCCTCTTCGTGCTCGCCCTCCCAAAGCCTCTTGGTCTTTCCTCACCCTCCACTGCTGCTCGGTGTCCCGCTCCCTCTACAACCTCCTACCGCATCATGTCCTCCACTCTCAGTGGGCCTCCCACTCCTGCCTGGCCTCCCCACCACCTTCACCTCCCACTCAACCTCCTGGCCTCCCCAGCTAAAAAACTCTGCCTCTCCTCCTCTTCTTGGTTCCCCCTCCCCGCCTCTACAGGGCGAAGGGGCTTTGCACTTACCCGGGGGCAGCACCAGCACATCCCCACGGCACCAGTGCTGGGACAGCCCCCAGCCCCGTGTCCCCCTCTGCCCAAGGACAGGGGCTCCAGGAGAAGGAAAACCCTCCTAAACAGACATGCCACCTTGTCACACTGCCCCTTCCCAGCACGGAGCTCCCACAGCCACTGATGAGGACGTATGGCTTCAGCCCAACTCCGGTGCCCTGTGGACATTTGAGTGTCCCCTCCAGGGACAGGCACTCACCACCCGCGGGAACCCCCGCCCACCCCACTTGTGCAAGGAAATTCAGAACCTTATTTAAAAATAGGATAGAAATAACCGAACATGTGCCACCAGTTTTGCAATTAGGGCATCTCTTGAGGATCAAGAGGCATCAATTACTCAAATGAGAAAGCTTTTAGGAGAGCGTTTGTGCCAACTAGCACCGGGGCTCACCCTGCGTGGCGCTGGCAAGCGGCAGCTCCTGCTCCAGCTGCCCCAGGAGGCCACTCGCCTTCTCGCACCCAGGCAAAGCCCACGTTGGGCTGGGACTGTCCCTCCCGTCCCCACACAGCCCCAGGAATGGGGGAAAACAGTCATCAGAAGCCAAGTCCTTCCCTCCAGCCCTGACAGGCAAGAGGGAAGCATTCCTCACCCCCCTTCGGGGATGCAACTGCTGTTATCAGGATAGAAAAGTCAACATGGAGCAACTTGAAGAAATCAGCAGTGAGAATAACACACAGACTCCCAGATATATCCCTTAGATGCCAGAGAACCAAGAGGCATCAATGGATTTGGTATGACGTTTGCAGCCACTGGGCAACAGCCCTGATGGAGCACAGCTGGAGACATCACTTTGAATATTAGAGGGACACTGTCAGTATGGGACACACCTGGTTACAGCTGGGAAGAGTTAAACCACATGGAATTACAGGCACTGATTCTGAGCAAGAGCATCCACTTGGGGGTTTAATCAGTTCTCACATTTCTACTTTTGCTCAGGTTTTCACTGTGCTCCAGCACCAAGTAAAGCTTTATCTCCGGTCAAGTGGCTGAAGGACAAGAAAATATTATACTGAAAGCCACTTTCTGGCTATTTTTGTGCCCCGTGTAGAGCCGTGTTCATTGCTGGTAGGTCACAGAATATATGCTCCACCGCGAGGCTGCATCACCACCCCAGCCTTTGTTCCCAGTCCTTTCTGCAGATGCTGCCTCGCAACAGACCAAGCTGTGCCGACACAAAACTGCACCTCAAAATACACAAATCGACCCCAAACTGCTCCCTGAAATGAAGAGGGGCAGAGCAGCCGAGGCTGCGCAGTCACCGCTCCCGGAGGAGGCAGTGGGTCGCCCAGCACATGAGGGAGGCGTAACTTCATCAGCCAGTCGTCAGCGTCTCGCTGCGCAGCACGGCATTTTGCGGTCGGCGTTTTCCTAAAGGTGATGTTAAGAGAGAGCTCTGCAGAGAGAGAAACCTCCCGGTTCTGCGGATGAGCTGCGCGGCTGTTTCTGAAGAGCTGAAGGGTGAGAGAAGGCTGTGTTTGAGGAAGAACATCATGCAGGGCAGTGCTGCTCGCGTGACAGCAGCTGCTCTTCCTTTTTTTTTTTTTTTTTTGCAGGGAAAACGCTCTCTCCTCCTCTTGCAACCTGCGCAGACTTACTGGTGCTGGAAATAGAAATGTGCCTGGTACAATTGAGGGAAAGACACAAGGGGGTGGGATGGCACGGGGGAAGAAAAGGAGGTTTTAATACACCAGAAATTCTGCTTTTGAAACCAGAAAGAGAGCACTGAGATCTCCCACTGAAAACCATCTGCGCCGGTGCAGTGGTACAGAGCACAGCCCTCTTCGCCAGCCTCAGAGGGTGGGGTATGGGGGGGGGGGAAAAACACCCATTAAGGCTGATTTATATGGCTGGCCTCGTCCCTAAACAATTTGTTTCTAAAGGATTAACAAAACAGACTGCATTAGCTCCGACGGCCAAGCGTGTGCTAGTAGAAAAAACAGAATTCATTTGTTCGGGCTCCGGCATCAAAAAAAAGCAGCAGCCAAAGGCTCAGCCCTGAGCATCACAAAGCGTCCCCGCTCCCAGCCCAGCCGCCGCGCGGTGGCACTCCTCCTCCAGCAACGGGACAAGGTGGGGACCAACTGCAGCAGCCCTGGGAATAAGGAAAGGCTGGTTTCTTGTCTTCCTCCGCAAGCTTGCTGCATTATTAAAAGGTAGCAGAAAGCATCGCGCTGAGCATCCGCACGACACCGTGCCCAGTCCGGGGAGGGAGGGAGGGAGGGACACCCCCTCCTCCCCCTTTCCCTGCGCCATTCATCTGCATTTCTCCAGCCATTTCTCATTTGCGACAAGAACGCTCAGGTTAAATCTTGCAGCACCCAATTACAATTGAAACTTATTTCAAGCATGACGATGGGGAGAGATGGGTTAGAGAACCGGAGTACGCTATCCGTTGTGCGGAAAGCGGGCTGCCTGGGTACCTCCTGCACTGTACGGTGCGTTTTCTATGTCTGGTTTGGTATTCAAAGCGCTTCAGTTAGTCATTCCTTCTTCCTTCCCCCCTTGCGAGCTGTCGCAGAAATCTCTTGATGTACAAAACTGCCGCGTACTCCTCCAGTTTGTGTACAAATCAAATGCAATTCCACTGTTCTTTTGTTCGGCTGCTCTTGTAAGACGCTCATTTAAAAAACAAACAAACCCACTTCCCTTATTTTCCTCCTATTTCTTCTGTTCCATCAGATGGCGTTCACCTGTCTCAGGCAGGTTAGACACCTGTAACACATTTCTAGAGCACAGAATCTAGAATAGTACGACTCAGCCATGTTTTTAACCACACTGGTGAAGTCGAAGCCTGGCTGTCTGGATACAGACGCAGAGTTTAATGACCTTCTTGGTGTGTCTCCTACAGTGCCCAACTCTTACACACAGCTCCCTACAGGTTCCACAAGGAAGGGAGAACAAAGCTATTTTTCGCTCGCTTCAGCTCCGTCTTCCGAATGGTTTCTCTCCCAGGCTGCAATTCAATCCGCAGCGCAGCCTCCCGAGAGCGAGCCCCAGCACACCAGCGCGTACTGCTGGCATCTCCGCAAGCCCAGGACCTGCTTTAAAACACCCCAGCGGCGGAGGGGGAGAAAAGGAGCAAAAAAAACCCAACCAAACCCACCCACCAACCCTGCGGTTTGCGACAAAGCAAGAGCAAGCTGGTACACCGAAGCGCTGCAAGCTAAGGACACCGATACGGAGGCTGTGATTCCGCGAGGAGGAGAAGAGTACGTGAGGAGTTAATAGATGTGGGAGGATACAAGGACCCAATACCAGCCTAGCGCATACCAGGAAAATGTGTTGTTTACTTAAAAGCGGAGTGCACTGCAGAAGTGCTCAATAGCAGCAGATCTATCGCTCGATGCTGCCCCCAGCAGCAACCGTTTCTAACAGATGGTACATTTTTCACTACTGAGGTTCTTTCAAGTGTCACATATATGCCTTTGGAAGGCAGCAGGGGGAAAAAAAAACAAAACCAAACCAAACCCAGCAACAACAAAACAAGCAATTTTGAGAAATTCAAACTTATTCACAAGATTTAAAAAAAGAACCAAGACCACTCTTACAGTATAAACACGCCAATTCATTCATTTTTACTGATGGTTGCATTTATGAATTTCATTCTCGTGAAAAAAGGGAATAAAAGGAAAAAAATTAAGAAAATAGCTATTTATAGAAAACAAAACAAAAAAGGGCTCAAACAGAAAAGACTCTGTGCTGATGCTTTTGATGAGCAGTCCAATGGCGTTAAACATTACCTGTGCAAGCAGGCATGCTTGAAAACCTGTCTCAGTACTGTAGCTTCAGTTCCACAATCCAGGATTTCTTTTACGGTTGTTGGAAAAAAAAGAGCCTAATAGTTTCATACTGTATTTATTTAATAACTAAAATTCACAAATAAAAAGATACTTGCAAAGTCCTTTAGTTGTGTCATCCCCTCCTCCTCCACTCTACTGCTTTCAGACCCATATGCATAAAAAAATGGGCTTGGATTTTTAATTTTAACTGTTATATGATTGGTCGTTGGAGCTGAAGCACCAAATGGAGAAGATGCTTTATGGAGATGAGGGTATAACCCTTGCCTTCCCACACACATGTTGGAGGAACATAGGAGATGTACCAGCGCCCGGACTCCTCTGCTCCCATTTCCCCCACCCAGAGCATTCCTTTCATTTTATATTTCCTCTGTTAAGTGACTGACTGTAGCCTCTTTTTTTTCCCCCTTTGTCCTTGCGGGACCGCATACGCGTTGGACATTGTTCATTTCTTACTCCGCCAGGCTTTGAGTCAGTGTCAAGTAGGTCCTGTTACAGCTCAGTGCTAGTTGTTTTTTAATGGGTCTTTTCATTTCAGGTAGGTTTGTGTGTCGATTCAGAAGGCTTGCTTATTTTCTTCCTTGTTTATATCTGACACGCTGCTGGATAAGGCTATTCATACTCCAGGAACTGTTTGTGATAGAACAGCAAATATCTGCAAGAAAGCAGAGGTACAGTTTCAGCTTTCTGCTATGCGTCGCAGCAGATGAGTATTTCCATTGATGCGATCGTAAAAAGTGAGGACTATTAATTTTGTTTTTCTTTGCAATTTGAAGCGATTCCAGGGACATGTCAGTTCCCTGCAGTAACTGGGGAGGAGGAGGATGGAAGCCAGCTGAAATAATTTTACCAGCAACTCAGGAAACTGAACAGTTGTACATCAAACAGTCGAACCTTCTTGTTGTACAATCTACTTGGAACCTGAAAGCTCCAGAAGATTGGACCGTGTTGGTGCCCAGTCAGGCAGCATCCGTTTAACACTACTATGACAAAAAAATACAACGGAGGTGCTTTAAGATGCAACTGTTGCTTCAGAGTAACATTACCAAAGCATCAGACGCTCAGGATTATTGCAAACTGTCTGCCATTCACTGTTACAGAAGCAAAAGGAAGAACCAGGCATGTGGGTGAAAACTCACGTGTCCCAATCAAATCCAACTCAAATATCTAGTGTCTCAATCTGTACTCAAATCTGGTGTTTTAATAGGATGAAATTCTTCCCGTCCTTAATTACTTTATGTTACTGCTACAGAAGGGAGCCCAGCCCTCAAGCAGTTACACGTCAGAGGGAAGCAGACTCATCTCTACATACTCTTTACACACCACACACCGACAGGGTCACTGCATGACTCTTAAAATGCTTCCAAGCACTTTTGAGACTTTCCAATTATTATGGTTCCATCTCACACCCTATGGAGCTTCCCTTATGAGAAGGATGTAGATCTACTTAGTGTCAGCCTTTATCTGAACCAGGGAAAACGGATGGGAGCTCACACCAGCCTTTAGCGAGGCAGACGGGCAGTTGCATCACGTACCCTCTGCTCCTTGCCTTGTTTCTCCCACAGACATACCCCAGCTGAGGGCCAGAGGTAGCCACTTGTTAGCGAAGCAAAACAAACTCATTTTTTCTGCTGACCTCAAAGCAGAGGGTACCTTGTCAAATCATTTAACACTAGAGCTCAGATATTACAGGATAGATTTATTTTTTTTTTACTTCCTGGCTGAAGTTCAAAAAATGAAAAAATGGGAAAATTTGTTAAAAAAATTACAAACTGAACACCTGCAGCAATCCATGGAGATGTCAGGAATAATTAAAACAGGAACAATAAAGGCTTATTCTTTCCAGTACCAAGTCCATAGTTGATAATGCAAAATGAAGACTTCAGATTTTAAGCAAGCTTATTCTTGAAACATATACCAGTCCCCAGTGCTTCCCTCAAATGAGGAACACCGAGATTCTTCCCTGGCAAACCCCTGCTCTGCTCTCCCAGTGCTTGTCTAATGCAAATATCTGACACCAATGTAAAGCCATGAGCCAAGAAACAGCTCATGTTCTCTACCTGCCTCCCATACAGCCTGGCCGCTCTGCTTCACAGTATTTTCTTAACGACTTTTCTTCCCATCTTTTACACTCATAGAAATCTAAAGGTTCTGCAAAGACTGGATTGTGTCATGGAGGGAAATACTGCTCTTACGCTGGATGGTCATATCACCATGGTTTTCAGAGTCCCTTCCATTAGCAAGCAAGAGTTTGGACATGAGCACCAGTTACAGACACTGCAGAGTCAGCTGATGTCCCTCATCCTTCCCCTCTTCCTTCAACAAATCCAGGATTATAAAGCCACATTCTGGAGCACTGATACATACAGAGAGAGACATTCAATATTCAAAGAGAGAAATTAAGTCTTTCTCTATGACGAAAGGGTCTTTTAACTGAAAGTAAGGAAAAGCCAACAAAGGTCAAAGTTTCCCTTCCTTTCCCCTTTCCAGTTCACAACTTACCCTTCACTGTCTAGCACATCCTTAATGCTAGCCTTGGTGATAATGGCATCATCACACTTGAACCACTGGTCCTTGTGCTGCCGGATGAAGCTGGTATAGTGCCCGCTCTCCAAGGTTCCCTGGTGATTAACTACTGCAAACAAGGAATACCTGGTACAGAAAAGAGTTAATGAATATGTGGATCAAAAGGAGAAAAACAACTGACATTTCAGACAGGCAGAAGCTTGTGTTCACAAACACGTATAGCACTAGTAAAGGATCTGATCCCTCAATTGAGCATCTCTTAACGTTAACTGGGAGGACATCCTTGCCCAGGGAAAAGAACCACTTTTTTCTTTTTCTGTCTTGCTATTACTGCAACACTCCAGTCCGATGACAGCCCTCAGCTTTAGCAATACTGGCTACCAAAGATTTTTCTTCTAAAATAGATCAATATTGAGCCATTCCTGAAGAGGACCACTGATTATCTAGTTTGACCTTGTGTTTCCCTGAGCTAGTTACTCTAGTGAACCAGAAAATGCATTTGAGGTATGGGGGTGGAGCAGGAGATAATCGTAAATATAGCTAATCTTAAATATTTCTAGTGATAAATTGCTGTAGTGATGAATTGTCCTTAATCTGTAAAGTCTGTACCTATTTTGAAATACTGAACATACATTCAGCCTGAACTTCCAGCTTTCAGGTGCTGCTGTGCATTTGCCTGCTAGCCCGAGAACTAGCAAACATGCCTCTGTTCCAAAGAAAGATACTGATAGACTAATCAAGTCGTTCTTAACTTTTTCCCCCCACTTTTCTTAAAAAGGAGACAACAACTGAAGTCCTTGGCTGTTTTTGTTCTAAGGTAAGACTTTATTTCCAGTCTGAAACATACCTGCAGCTCTTTTTCAAATGTTCTCCAATCTCTAACTCATTCTTAAAATGGTATCCTCAAACTGGGATACAAACACAGCTGCACAATGGTAAAATAATCTCTCTAATCTCACTTGATATTGTCCTACTTATGTTGAAAATTCACAGAGCTCTTTTGACACAGTGGTGTCGCAACAAGGCACCTTTTCAGTTGACTGTCTGCAGAGCCACCGATTTATATAGTCGCCCTCTTCCTAATGGAGCCCTTTAACCCAACTGGGATGGGCATTGCTCTCTAGTCCCAGATGGAGGGTTCTTTAAAGAAAACACCCATCCCTTTTAATACTGTAACCATAGCTTTTAATTTTGCTCACAGACCGATTGTTGGGGTTACCACCTTCAGATCTGAAAGTCAGCTGCCACAAAACCACAAAAGGGTAGGCAACTGTAGTGAACGAAGCTTTATTTTGCAACAGTTCAGACTTACTGTGCTGTCAAACATGGCAATGCATTTCACACTGCAGGATATACAGCAGACAGTATATCTCCTTCTAGAAACCAACTACCTTTCACAATAGGAGTCATGGAATGTACCACTTACTTATTATCATTGTTTAGACTATCCGTCGGCTGCTGGTATTGCCCGTTCATTCTGCTCTCTTTACTGCAACACACACACACACAAAAATCCAGTCACTTAAAGCAGTGGCTTCCCAAACCGAGGAAACAGGTTTTACATGACACAGCCCGTTTGCCGAATCCAGGTTCTTATTCAAAAGCACAACGCTGCTCAGCAGCGGAGAAGAGCTGCTGATTAGGATGCTAAAGATGCTTTATTTGTTCTCACAGCAATGCTACATAAGAAACACCATTTCTCCTCCTGGTCAAGGCTTCAGTGCTGCAAATGCACATCTGTTTACATCAAATGTCCTATCCAAAAAGCTTAAAAACGAGTTAAGAGAAGATTTGTATTTTAAACCTGGAAAAATATCTAATTACATCAATCCTTTATCCTGTGATGGGTCAATCATCCCGGCTCTGACTTGTAAATTCATTCTGTGTTTTGACAGCAGCAATAGGATTATGCTGTTGATTTCATAGCCGATGAAATTTAGATTACCGAGTTATGCCTGCTGATTATCCCATCTATATTCCATTATGCTTGATACCTTCCATCAGCAGAGCCTGTTCTATCCAGGGAGAATTCACCACAGAGGAATGGGGAAGTCTCAAAATCTCCAGAATATACTGGAATAAACTACATATTCTTAATATACCACTATTTAACAGAGCTTTAAGGTGCTCCTTTCTCTGCTGGCAGAAGTAGCTACTTTTTTTTTGGGGGGGGAAGGGCAGGGGGGTGGGCAAAGCTTGAAATTACTAGTAAAATTTAAGCATCAAATAGAGCCCCTGTGTTAAGAGATACCATGTTTTGGTGCTTTCTGCATTGCTTCAGATATAAATTAAATCTGAATATCCTCTTGTATATTTGAATGGAATACCTGACAAACACTCATTAATGGAGCGGATTAAATTCCTTTCATAAAGGTATATTTATATAAATAAATATATTTGTCTTTCGCAAACCTGGGAGGTGGGAGAAGTCTTACTGTTTCCGTTTAAATACCAATTAGAAATACCTATTTTAATCTGGACTATGTTTTTTCTTCTCACAGCATTCTCCAAACAGATGTCGAAGGTACAAAACAAAAAACCCCAGATTTGCATGCGTACAGAAATAAAGAGGAAGGATTTTTATAACTTCAGAAATACTAGATTAGGCATTAGGGTATGTCTAGTCTGCCTAATTACACAAGATGAGTGGTGGGTGGGCACTCAGGTGATGGGACCAAAGCGGAGATTTGAAAGCACGATGGATCTGAGGCTATAATTCAACATGCAACCAGAAACATAACACACATTAATAAAAAAAAGTTTAAATAGAAAGCCTTTTCCGGCAACAAAACTCAATAGTTTATCTAAAAACTAGTTTAGAAAAAGATGCACATTTCAAGGAGAAGCTTACAGCAGAAGTATCATTATACATACTGTTCTATAACCTTGATTCAAGGATGTTCCATGTTTCATGATGCACATGTATGAACTGGTAAACAGTTCTGTCCAGGTCTTTGGGGGATTTTGAACTTGGTACACACCTGGAAGCCATGAATGGTGTCATGTCCAGCTCCAGCGGAAATGAGACATACGTAGTGATCTTTCGCCTCAGTTTGGCTGAGTGTTCAAACCGCTGGAGACAAAGTGGAAGAATTTTTTTTTTTCTTTAGAGAAAGTCTAAGTTTTATGTCTTTTATAAACGTCCTAAGCTTAGGAACAATAACATGAAAGCATATTAGCAGTTAGTATCCAGGGACATACCCAGATTTTTATCTACCAACTATCCGGGCTGGGAACCCCCGTGTAAATGCTAACACATGTCTACCAGGAAAATAAACCACAATTTGGGGGGGGGGGGAAATACAGCATTAATTAGATTGTTTACCTTAATATCTATACATACAAACTTATTCCCAACTGACATTAAGAAAAAAAAAAAATGTATTAAACAGAGAGCACACACAGCCTTACCCAAACCAGTGTTCATTTATACTACGCACTATTCAAATATATGGCTGCTGCCTACGGTAGCACACAAAACTGGGGACAATGAGGGCTTGCCATCAGATTCACACACTTCATCCACCCATCCAATCACCTCAAGTGACAGGAGTCAAGCCTACACAGGAATACCAATTCAAATTAAGGCAAAAAATGGAACACGATAATAAAAAAGCCTTGTTCCTCCACCAAAAGGAGCCTGCGATACCCACCATCCTCTCCTCATCTTCTCGATTGAACATTAAATGGAAACAGGAACAAATACCAGAAAGAGATGAATGAGTTTCTATTTAAAGGCAGCTTCTCTCCCCATTTCTCAGAAATTCTGCTCTATTTACACTTCAAGTTAATTATTTTCCAATTGTGGTGCCATAACAATTCCCTAGCAACAGATCCAGACGTGAAAAGCTGAGACTTCTGTAATTCTTATCTTTTGTGTTTCTTTTTTTGCTTTAACACATGAAATTAAATTTGCATTTTGCATGGACAGGACAACACAATCACTTAGGAAAAGTAATTTATTTTCAAAAAATCTTCAGTCATTCTGAATAACACAAATACTGAACTGAGCTTCGAAAAGGGGTTTAGCACATTCACATTGCCTTGCCCAAAGAGCAGAATCACCTAGCTATATCTTGCCAACTACTCTGCATAATAAAAATAAAACAAAACCAAGAGACCAACACCCCAAAAACTCCCTCCAAAAGCCAAGCAGCCAGCCAAGCACTCCTGAAACCTCAAGTCAGTCATGTAAAAATGCTCTTCAGGAAGACCACAAACAGCCAAAGAATTAAAAAGGAATTTTGCTACTATCTATTCCAGCCAGGCGAATATCTTTGGCATATAGCATTGCCTGTCATCTTGGTTAATATTTGAGATGCAACTGAAGAACCGCTGGTATATGGGGGTGAACATCTGAAGGCATGACTGTCCCAAACAGTCTGTATATTACAGAAGAGGGAATTCATTCCACCTGTAACACCTTTTTTTCCAGTACAAAGCAGAACCAATCTCTTCTCACGAATACACACCTTCCTATGGCATTCTGTTTTCACATCAAGAACTCTGCATTTCATTAACAAGCTTCTGTACAAGCCAGATTTTGAAAACAAATTTTAAATCGCTGCTACACTGGATACAGAGTTGCTATGTAATTTAACAATTCCAAACTACAATCATTTATTGAATACAGTCTGTGACTTGCTCAGTGAGACCATGACACTATAGTCACACAGATTATTCGATTTTCCAGTATGAGCATACTGACCTACCTTAGAGCGCTACTGGAAAATAAACCAGAAAAACTGCCTGCAAGCTACAGCAAAGTTCAGCACGCACTTTGCAATGACAGCTACAAGATAAAGGTCTAATTCCAACACTACTAAAGTTACCCAGGTGTTTTACTAAAGTTCAAAGCCTAGAAACCATGTAAGAATTGAACAAGTGAATGAAGTCTCTGAAGCAAAAGGCTGGATCGTGTGTTCTTTCAATTCACCAATCCCCAATTGGAAAGAGAAGCAATACAAGCCTTCATTTGTACACAGCATATAGGCTGCCGTTTTAAAATGTGTTTCCAGTCACCATGGTCATAGGTAAAATACTGTTTTTCTTTATGTAGCTTATGTAACATTATCATCATCATCAGATAAGCAGTTTCTTGAAACGCTGGTCGTAGTAAGGGCTGAGGGCAGTGATCATCAGTTACTGCCTAGCAATGAGAGGACTTTGCCATTCTGTCCCAGGAGACACTCAAGAACTTACAGGTCTGCATCTGAAAAGCTCAAGCAGATCAAAGATGCAGTTAAATTACTGTAGTGGCTGCTTCTACAAAGGCCTGGGGCATCACTTTTCAAGGACCCTTTGCCTCTTGACACAGAATGACCTCCATCTTCTCCGACAGCTGCCTACTGTGCACCACAGCCACACTCTTTATATTTAAGACATAAATTGTACAGGACTAAACTATCCGAGTGCACTGACTATGATATTATCTCCCATCATTGCATCTGACAATCTGGATTGGAAATGTTGAAAACTACATCACAGTTGGGAGGATACAAGAAGCCTTCTCCATTGCAACTGACAACTTTTTCATGCTTTTCTTTCAACGCAGAGTTCCTCTGTGGCTTTCTTCCAGTAGAAGCGTGGGGTAAAATTTTTACCATGTGGGATGAGTAAGTGTTATTGGAGATTGGGTTCTACGCTGGTTCAGGTATTGCACTAGCCTTCCATTTTGTTTCTAGATTCTGAGTATTTAGGTTCCCACAGACATACCGCAAAGCTACATTATAGATAATGTAATACTATCATAATAGAAAATCTAGCTGGGCATGCAAGCTGTTCTTTCTATTAATTTATCTCGTGAAAGATTAGTCAGAAAAAGCCAGAAGTCCAGGAATTTAGCTCATCCTCTCGGAGAGGAATACGCGTCCTCTGCTCGCTCTGCTCCCTGTGAACTTACTTTGAGATGAAAACAGGCCACAATGGGTAACTTCTTCATAGTGAGTTGTTTGGTAGATTCCTGGTAGCTATGGCAACCACTACATTTGATTTTGGCACTGCTTCCTAGATGTTCTGGCCTTGTAAACCTGAAAAAAATATTAAAAAGCAAAGGGATGCACAAAACGATCAGATGATTTTCCACACATGCTGAAAACACTTATTTTACCTTTACTTGTGGGTCACTGGCACCACAAGAGAGAGTTTATGGCTTTTAAGTGTCATTTTGAAAAAAACCCACCACCTATAATAATGTAAAGTGGTCTGGTTCAGATATCCAAATCTGACATTCATCATTGCTCTACTTGGGAACACTTCACTGAAATGCATCAGTGTCTGGGAAAGGAGCTAAATGTTAGTTCATCTCCTACAACAGAACAGCTGATTTTCATACAGAAAGCAAAGATCTTTTGTTTTCAAAAACAAAAACATTGATATGAAGTTCCGAAGTGAGACGACATGACTTCTGTGCTCAGCTGCACGCTAGTCTGCAGGACACTTCTAGCTTGTAGCCCTCCAGGGCTAGGATCAAAGCTCTGAGATGGAAAGGGCTGTAAACACGAAGTTCCTCTCAAAATACAGATATCTTCCAAGAAAACTTAAGTGTTGACAACTTGAAAAATCTGTTTCAAAATTTTCAGACAGAAATGCTCAAGGGAGCTATAGGAAGAGACCATTAAGAACAGGGAACTGCTTAGAGAAAATAAGCTACCTCTATGTTCTCACAGCACACTAAAGCAAAATCTCTCTCACTTTTTCAGAAACTGTCAGCACAGAAAAGGCTAGGAGGATGGACTGCTAAGTCTTTTCCTCCAAGTTTAGACTTCCACAAGGCAAATAAATCATCTCCCAGAGGCTGCTTGCCAACTAGGATTCTTGAGATGAAATATTTTGAAATGTAATTTAATATTTGACATTAATGCACACACTAAGCACATGAGGGCAACGTGGTATCAGCTCGTCACTAACCCTACCTTGCCTACCTCTATGGCCAACACAGCCTCCAGCACCACAGCCTCCTGGTCTCCCCTCCTGTTTGATTAAGAAGATTCCCCTTACCTAACCTATGTACCACCATTCTCTGTTTTTGTTGTTTTGATTTCCCCCTACCCCCCCATCCTGGTTCAAGGTAAAACTGGACCAATTTTGTTCAGTAACTTCGCTTCTTAGCTATGCCTCTCCTAACTACTGACATTAACGGCATATTGTGCAGCCAACGTTCACTCTCTCAGTGATAAGAGGTATGTTCATAGCTGATGCCCAGGCATGGTATGCAGAGAGGCTCTTGCTTATACCTATTGCTATAACCCCCAAGACCAACCAACTTTGTTATTTACCCCGTTGGAGGGTCGGAAGCGGAAAAGCACAGTGGGGTCCCACCTGCGGGGAGGAGCGGACAGGACAGGTGACCCCAAACTGACCAACGGGGTACTCCATCCCATCTGCCTCATGCTCAGTATAAAGGCTGAGGATCAAAGGGTCAGCTCTCTTCCTTCAATGGCCGACGACTGAGGGGGACCCTGTTCGTCTGCCTTAGATCCCGATCCTGAATGCAGATCTGGAATCCAGTCCCCATCCATCACGGAGTCCAGCCTGGGACTGCCCCAGTGCCAGCCGGTGTCACGATTGTCATCTCGGGAGCTTGATACGGTTTTGTATATATTTCATTGTTTCTGTTTTTTAAATTTTATTATTAATATTTCATTAAAGTAGTTTAGTTCCTTCTAAACTTGTAAGTCTCTTTTTCCTCCTCTGCCCCTCTCTTTGAAGAAGGGTAGAGGGGAGCATCTGTCGGTCCCATCTGGGGTCCCCCAGGTCCCCAGTAGC